AAACGGGAGAAAACCAGCCTGACTTACCGGGAAGGTGGCATAAGCCATCAATTATGCTTCTTCGCCTTTCCGTTAGAGAAATGCGATCCTCAGAGAGCACAAGCGCAAACATGACCAGGGCGATTATCTGGCTTGTGTATGCCTAGAAGAGGTAGAGAGGGGAATTCTGGCTTTCTTACCTTGGTACTGGCTACACCAATTTCGGGGCCGGCGTTCATGTGGATACCACAATGTGTCTCCCGAGAAAGAGTTGAGCCCACGGTGTTGGTTATGCCCAGGCTAAAGACGCCCCGACTGAGGCAATAACGCAGGGCCAAAAGGGTATCCGCGGTCTCGCCAGACTGACTAATAAAGATGCAGACATCATCACGAAACACGGGTGTTCGGCGGTCCAGAAAGTCGCTGGCCAATTCAACCATCACTGGCAGTTCCGTTAGCTCTTCCATCAACTGACGAGTCTAAATTAGGATACATCATTGTGCTACTTAAATCACGTTAAGTAGGCAAACTATTTGGCAAGAACCAGCTTCCACTTACCGCTACTGCTGCGTTGTAACTAGTTCCACAGCCGATGAAAATAAGACGCCGACTGCGACAGATGTCCACCAGGCGATCCTTTATGCCACCTAGCACAACCGAGTACTTATTAAAGTCCACACGACCACGCATTGTGTTCAAAATAGACTCGGGCTGTTCGAAAATCTCCTTTTGCATGAAGTACTCGTAATTGCCTACGGGGAAGCGGATAAAAGAGGCATTTAGGTTAAGACGACCGAAAGCTGATGAAAATATACACACAGTAACGTCAGTTTCCTTGGGCGCAGTCATTTTCCCCAACACCTACCCTTCATAATCTCATTCAACTCCATGCGCAGAGTTACAATTTCACGAACGGTTTGTTCGTTGGCCTTCTTCGTCATGCGGTGAATGAAGAGGGTGCCATCGCGAACGGCAGCAATGTCGTTGTCCTCGAGGTAAATCACTCTGTCAGTATGCTCCACGATAGCGCTAAAATGCAAGGTACACGCAGGAGAGTTAGAACGCAGATCAAAGCACAACAGGAGCATAAAATATTAATTAGAGACTCACACACACATACACACACAAGTGCTCCAAAGCTCGTTTGGAGAAAGGCTGTCTACCGTGGATGCTAGAGTAGGGCTCAACAGACGTTAGGCATAATGTGCTCGCAAAACAAGCGCCACACACTGCAGATACTGAAGATGTACTGTGAACATGGCTCTTGCACAGTTTCAATACGGCCCCCAAAAAGACAAGGCTGACTAGCCCAGGCTCCGTATTACGAACTATGTCAAAAAGACAAAGTAGAGTTGAGTCTAAGTATCGCAGTGCATTTGTGTGAATACATGAACTGCTCTAGAAGCGACCTTAGGCCAGCCTAAGAGATT